TTGCACCCATGCCCTGGTCTAGCCTCTCATTGCTCAACTACAACATATATGGTTTCTCTCCCTTGTAAGTCCTCTGGTGTTTTACCAGATAAGAATTCTGACTGAAACTTTTCCACAGTCAGGACATTCATAGGGTTTCTTTCCTGTGTAAGTTCTCTGATGTTTCACCAGATCGGAATTACAACTGAATCCTTTCTGACAATCTGAACACTCATGCTGTTTCTTTCCTGTGTGAGACATCTGATGTTTCACAAGGTAGGGTTTCTGACTAAAGCATTTCCCACAATCATGACATTTATGTGGTTTTGCTCCTGTGTGAGTCCTCTGATGTTTCACTAAATCGGAACTGCAACTGAAACCTTTCCCACAATATAGGCACCGGTACAGTTTCTCTCCTGTGTGTGTCTTCTGATGTATCACCAGATAGGAATTCTGACTGGAACTTTGACAATCACGGCATTTATATGGTTTCTCTCCTGTATGAATCCTCTGATGTTTCACCAGGTCACATTTCCAAAAGAAATCTTTCTCACAATCAGGACACTCATATGGTTTCTCTCCTGTGTGAGTCCTCCTATGCTCCACCAGGTGGGAATTCAAACTGAAACCTTTTCCACAATCTGGGCACTCATATGGTTTCTTTCCTGTGTGAGTCCTCTTTTGTCTCACCGTTCTAGTATGCATGCTAAATCTTTTGTCAAATTTCTCTCCAGTAAAGTTTTTGCTACACTCCAAATATTTGTATTGTTTTTCACTGGGTGGTTCATCTCGTGCATAATCACCTGTGATCTACAAGTTCGATTTTCCCCATTCTTGGCAGTCTTGAGTAGGCCAAAAATGTTTCTTACTTGGAGGTTCTTTGCTTCAAGCCACTCTCCTTCATCATTATGTGCCAAAAATTGTGTGCGCATTTTGTGCCAACCAGAAGGCAATGCGTGCCCCCCATGCCCCCTGCGCATGTGCACACAATCACCCCTGCTGCCCCCCCTTGACTTCATTGTGCCTCCCAGCTGATTTTTGGCCCTTTTGGGCCTCCCAGAGGCTTGAGGGAAGCTTCAGCAGCCTTTGCAGGCTGAAAAATGGGCCCGCTCGTCACTTCCGGTATTTCCGGAAATACAGGAAGTAATGAAATGGGCCTATTTTTCAGCCTGCAAAGGCTGCAGAGGCTTCCTTCAAGCCTCTGGGAGGCTGCAAATCAGCTGTGAGGCGTACACATACAGTGAGGTAAGTTTGCCTGGGGCTTGTGTGCCCGCACAAATGTGCCACCTGTGGTATGCATGCCATAGGTTCGCCATCACGGCCCAACACCATTTCAGACATGGGGCTGTCCCGTCTCTTCTTAAAAACCTCCAGTTTTTAACAACTCCTCTTTTTTTTTTGAAAACAGTTTTATTAATTTTAACAACAAAAACACATAAAACATAAAAACATCATCCTTTCCTTCATGAGTTTACAGACAGTCTATCGGTTGGTTTATCACTTTTTTTTTGTGCATCCATTTCATAGTCTCCATTGTAGTTATATTGCATAATAGTTCATATTATCAATCAACAATTATATAGCCTGATATCATTATTAAACAATCATTTGACTATAATTTTATTAATTCATACTTTATAACAGGACCATCTAGTCCTAGTCTGTCCTATCGGGTCTTGTAGGGAAGCCCTCATTGTCACTCCAACTGCAACTAGACACAAGGACTGTTTTTTCCCCAAATGCCATCACTCTGCTAAAAAAAATCATTCCCTAAATACTCTCCAACTATTTACTATGTCTGCATTACTATTACTATTGCTCCCATCCTTCCTTTCACCCATCTCCCACTTATGATTGTAACCTTATTGCTTATATCCTAATGATTTATATTGACTGTTTCCTAGTATGATTTGATTGCTTATTGTACCCTATGACGGTTATTAAGTGTTGTACCTTATGATTCTTGACGAATGTATCTTTTATGTATACTGAGAGCATTTGCACTAGGACAAATTCCTTGTGTGTCCAATCACACTTGGCCAATAAAGAATTCATACTTTCTTTCTTTTATTTTCTTTCCTTTCTCTCTTTCTTTCTCTTTCTTTCTTTCTTTCTTTCTTTCTTTCTTTCTTTCTTTCTACCTACTTACCTACCTACCTAAACGCAAAGTGCCATCAGGCAACAAGCGCACCGACCTTGGGGATAAATAAGCAAAGACTCTTCCAGCCAGTTCTTCATCTTGGGGGTGCAGGATAACTCCCTGAAACTATCTTTGCAACTGACAGAAGCTTGAAGAGTGATGCTTAATCCTTACCTTCACAAGATTAGCCAGGTGCTGCATCATAAAAATTGAAAAAGGTCTTGTTTGTATGTGCAGCCTTAAACGATTGCCTCCTTCATATCCCTTTAATAGAATGAAATACAGGACAAAACCTTGAAGCTCCCACACACATTGCTTCCAAACACATCTAGACAGGAGACATTATTTTTCCATTTGCTTTCTTGCAGGGTCAGAATCTCACTAGAGGCCAGAATTTCTGTCAGCTGCCTTCCCAGTTTCCAGAGAAGTTAACATTCTACCATTGAATATTCCGAGGCAGCATGGGCAAAACATTTGGAGGGTGCTAGTTTGTAGAAAGCTGATCTAAAAAGTCCTGGGCTTCAATAGTTGGCTCTCAATTCCTCTCCCAGGCCCAGAAAGGAGCAGGCCTGGAAGCCACCCACTTCCCCGTAGCTCTCACCTGCTGGCCTGGAACTCCCACCTCTTTCCACATAACGATCAGAAGAGGCCCTCACTTAATGACCCACGGGGTCCTGGGGTCCTGGAGTCGCAACGGCATCGGAAATGTCAGGCTTGTCCTCAGTAAGCAAAGTGGTTTAACATCTACATGAAATTGCTAGGGGAGGTCATCCATTCTGTGATATCCAATTAAGTAGACCGAGTGCTCGATTACAACTTCATTTAGTGACCATCTGAAGTTACAATGGCATGAAAAAAGCGACAGGACCATTTTTCACGCTTAAAAGACCACTGCAGCATGCCCATGGTCATAGGTTCAAAAAGGGAGGCCTTGCACACGGGTCACCCATGCCTTGGTCACCTCCTCTTTGAATCCCTGCATTGGACCACTCAAAAACTTCAACTGGTCAAGAATGTAGCTTCGCACACATTCATGGGAGTCCCTAGATTGCCCATGTAACACCTTTGTTGTGCAAGCTGCACTGGATTAGTTTCTTTACAAGTGTTAACTGAAGATACTGGTCATCAGCTTTAAAGTTGTTTCTTTATTATGCGCTTAGAATAAGATACCACCCACAAGTGCTTCATAGCTCTTTCAGTTTATTGTCCCCAACAATTCAACTCATTATACCAATCTGAGAGAGATGGAAGACTGAGTCAACCTTGAGCCTCGTCAGGATCAAATTCCAGGCTGTGGGCAGATTCAGCCAGCAAAACTGAATTCTAACCACTGAGTCACCAGGGCACCTGTCACTAATATCCCACCTTTCTTATTTTTGCATCCATCCACCAGGTGAGATAAGATGGCCACGAACCTAGCCCCTTTCTTTAAATATTTGTACTGAATTTTTAGTCCATTGCTGACCCTGCATCAGCTTAATTTGGAAGCAGGTGGTTTTTTATTCATTTAATTCAGGAGTCCCCAACCACCAGGCCACAGACCGGTACCGCTCCATGGAACATTTTCTACCAGGCTGCCGGTTTGCTGGGGGCCGCCATCTTGTTTTGATGAGAAAGTGTTTCCGGTGAGCTTTTCCGGTTGGAAAGCAGCGTTTGGGTCCTGAAGGAATCCTCGCACCTTAGTTTCATCGAAGGGAGGGGGCGGCTTCGAACAAAACTAAGGCGCGAGGATTCTTTCAGCACCCAAGGTAAGGCGAGCCGAGCGACCGTCCTGAAGCCCATCGACAAAGGTACAAAGGAGGAGTTGAAGGTGGTGGGGAGAAGTGGGGGACAGCTGGCTGGCCGGACTCTCGGCTCGCCCTGCCATGCGTGCTGATGCCGGTACCGGGCCGCGGATCATTTTGTGATGCCGGTACCGGGTCGTGGCACAAAAAAAGTTGGGGGCCACTGATTTAATTTATATGCCACTAATCCTGAGATGAACTTCTCCAACTTAATGCCTGTGAGTTCCAAGCAAGAATGGCACCAGTCACGAAAATAATTACTAAGGCCAAGAGGCCGAATTAACTTATACATTGAACAAAAGCAAAAATCATGATTTTGGGATTCCCAGACCATTAAATTGCTATCAACCTTGCTAGATATGCCCTATAGGTACAAGGAAAGTATATATGAAGCTTTGCATTTTGCCTATTGCTATATATGGGGTTTATTGGTTTCTGTATTAAGTTTTTACTGCTCTAAACTGTGAGAGTTGGGCAGCAAAATATATTTTCTTCCCAAGTAAAAATAAATGCATACAAACCCACATAGTTTACATCGCCCTTTATATTATACATAGAAATAACTCAAGGCAGCAAGCATGCTTTCTAGAGATCCATGCTCACTTTCTCTCACCCAGCAAAGGAGTTCCCCTCGGTTCCGTAAAACTGAACTACTGCACTGGGCTATAGAAAGGAAGCTCAGATCAGATAAGAAGCCTGCAGGCTAAAACATATGAAGAACGGTGCTTGCATGGCTAGTCTAGTGAAGAACCAGCAATGACATGATAACAGTCTTCTAATATTTGAGGGGCTGTCACAGACAGGACGGGAGCAATCTGTTTTCCAAAGCACTCGAAGGTCAGACAAGGAAAAATGGATAGAAACTGATCAAGGAAAGATTAAAACTAAAACTAAGAAGACATTTTCTGACAGCAAGAACAATCAACCAATGGAACAGCTTTGCCTTCAGTAGTTATGCTTTCAAGAAGAGACTCAACTGCCACGTGTCAGAAATAATATAAAGTCGATTTCTTGACCAATGGGTTGAGCTAGATGACATACAAAGTCCCTTTCAACTTTATTATTCTATTCTGTTCTAGTCTATTCCTCACTCATTAGACACTAAGACAAGTTTCACTAAAAAGAAACATGCAAGTAATTAAATGTTGTTCAACTGGGCTTCCATTGAGAGACAAAAAATGAAATTCAAGATTCCTCTACCTACATCAAATTTTACCTCAGGAAGAATTTCTTGTGTGTGGTAAGGGAGGAATTTTGTGCGAAACACTGTCTGCTATCTGGGTATTTGAAAGGTTACTCCCCTATGTGTAACTTTACATGATTTATAAGGGTAGACATATAACGGAAATCTTTCCCACAATCTGGACATTCATATGGTTTCTCTCCTGTGTGAGTCCTCTGGTGTATCACCAAATGGGATTTCCGATTGAAACTTTTCCCACATTCAAGACACTTATACGGTTTTTCTCCACTGTGAATCCTCTGGTGTTTCATCAAGTAGGAATTCTGATTGAAACATTTCCCACAATCTGGACACTTATATGGTTTTTCTCCTATGTGAGTTTTCTGGTGTATGACCCGGTTAGAATTCTGACTGAAGGTTTTTCCACAATACAGACAGTCGTATGGTTTCTCTCCCGTGTGAATTCTCTGGTGTATCAACAGCTTGGAATTTCGAGGGAAGCATTTCCCACAATCCACACACTGATACAGTCTCTCTTCTCTGTGACTCTTTCGGTGCTTCACTAGTTCAGATTTACAACGGACACTTGCCCGACAATCTGGACACTCGTACAATTTCTCTCCCGTGTGAGTCCTCTGGTGATTCAACAGGTAGGAATTGTGACTGAAACTTTTCCCACAATCAGGACATTTATATGGTTTCTCTCCTGTGTGAGTCCCCTGGTGTTTCACCAGGTTAGCTTTCCGAGAGAAATCTTTCCCACAATCAGGACACTCATATGGTCTCTCTCCTATGTGTCTCCTCTGATGTTCTACCAGGAGAGAATTGCAATTAAAACTTTTCCCACAATCTTGACATTTATATGGATTTTCTCCTTTGTGAGTCATCTGGTGTATGTTCAGGTGACAAATCCAAATGAAACATTTTCCACATTCGGAACACTTATATGGTTTCTCTTCTGTGTGAGTCTTCTGGTGTATTACCAGATCAGAATTCTGTGTGAAACTTTCCCCACAATCAGGGAATACAAAGTTTGTCTCCCTAGCCTGAGTCCTCTTTTGTCTCACCACATTGGTATTCATGCTTAATCTTTTCTTGTACTGGCAGCACTAGTAGATTTTCTCTCCAGAATGGGTCATTCAATGAATCATGAGGAAGCTTTTCTGAGTAAAGCTTTTCGCACACTCCAAATAGTTGTATGAGTTTTCATTAGGTGGATCCTCTCATGCATAATCAGTTTTGATCTGCAAGCTGTGTTTTTTTCCACAATAAGCAGTCTGTGACGTGTTTCCCAAAACTGATATTTTTGGAAAAATATTCCTTAGGAGGCAAAAAATATTTGTGATTTGGAGGTTCTTTGATTCAACCCATTATTTTCTTTCTCAAAGGTTTTAAATTATGCCAACTCATTTTGGTTATCCAAATGACCTCTTTCTTCCCACTAACCACCAGGTATATCCCTCTTTTTCTTTATTTTCATGCAATGTTTTTTTGAGTTCCAGATACTGTATTTTCTCCAGGCGAAAAATTTCTTCTTGTTATTTTCTCCCTTGTCTCTCATCTGCTGAGGAAGAAGGAAAGTTATTATTACAATTTGCAGAGAAAATGGAAAATATTTCAATTGATGGCTTGTTTTACATTTTAATGCAGTTTCTCATTCTCTGTTGTCCAAGCTGCTCTTCTTGGCATCCTCCTTGTCTGTAAGATACATATTAATGTGTTAAGTTACATTATTGTGTAAGCACTAGTGTAGTACATGAGAAAGCAGCAAAAAAAGCCCCTATGTTTGCATGAAAAAAACCCAACACTGTAGTTTAATCTCAAAAAATTCTCTTTCTGGCCTGGGTAGATCAGACAAATATGCAAGCATATTCACGCAGAAATAAAGACCTATGAATTTATATGTTTGTAGACATCTACGTATATTTATTTCAGTGTGCAAAATGTTCGAGAAGTGCATTTACTCAAATTTTTTGATCTAATTTTAGAAAGGTGCAGACACTAGTTCCCAAATCCTATGCAAAATATCCGTTTTCCCCATGAAACTCCTCGCTTTCCATCAAAACAACTATAAATCACAAGGAATTAAGTGTTACATGAAGGATGAGGGAGCCCTTTAAGAAATACGAAAAATAAAGACTTTTTAAATGTCCCAAATCTCCCAGCAGAAAATCGCAGGCACGAGTTTTAAATCATGCAGCAAAAGGATAATAACGTTTGGGGAAAGAAAGAATACGAAGCAGCAGCCCATATGTTTCAGCCTTGTCCCTTCGCTGCTTCCTTGCCGCGGGGGCCCGACTTGCTCCCGGCTTCTCCTCCGACCTGCCCTCCACTCACCTCCCAGGAGCCGCTTCGACCCCTTCAAGCAGCACAAAAGGTTCCGCTGAGACGCCATCATCCTCCCGTGGCTGACCCGGAAGCGGAGGTTCCTCTGCCCTTCACTTCTCCTTTATAACTTCTCTAGCAATCCAATCCTCTATCGTTTCAACTCTTTCCTCTCTTTCTCTTCCCTAGAATAGCTTTGTCGCCCTTGCCTGTTTTATACGCGCGAGGGTTGTTTCCTCTGTAGATCGCCATCTAGCGACATAATAGCCGTATTGCTCGTTCTACCTGAAGGCGTTTGAAAGATGTTCTCATTTTATTCTGGGCTTCCTTAAGTGCCATCAAGTCCTATTTGACTCCCATCGAGCTCATCGGGGGAGCACCCCCGTCCCATCGAGCTTTTCTCCCGGAGGATCCATCCCCAAACCTTTTCTTTCAGGTCCCTCCAAGAGGGCGCTCCTTGTCCCTGGAGCTGAGCCCGAAGCTTCGCTTGCTAGAAGGACAACTAAACCAAAGGAAAATTTCCTTTGTGTTTGTATTGGGGGAGGGGGGTTGTTACGTGCAAATTGGAGAGGAAAAAGTGAACCTCCTTTGGTTCCAGGCACTTTTTCCTGGGGGGGGGGGGGCAAGATAACTGCTCGATACTTGCCTCTGCAACTTAACGAAACTGTAAGAATGAAGCTTCATCCCTTATCTCAGCTGGTTCCTCTCCCCCCAATAAAACGCCATCACTTGCCAAGAAATCAATATGTCAATAAAATCACAATTAATCAAGTGTTAGGTGAGGGAACCGGGTGGTTAAGAAATATGAAAAATAAAGACTTTTAAAGTTGTGTGTGTGTGTATCTGTATGAGGGGTGGAATGAAAATTGGAAAGGAGAAAGTGAACCTCCTTTGGTTTCAGGCACTCTTGGGGAGGGGGGGGAGGGTACAGGATAACTTTGAAACTGGCCTTTGCAACTTAACAGAGTTGTAAGGATGAAGTTTGACCCCTTGTCTCTGCTGGGTTTTTGTTTTTGTTTTTGTCATGAAATTCCTCACTTGCCAGAAAAACAACATGTTAACATAGTCAGAAGGAATCAAATGTTAGGTGAAGACTGAGGGAGATGGGTGGTTAGGCAGTATGAAAAATAAAGTGTTTTTTTTTTTAATCTCCCAAATCTGAAATTCAGAATACAGATGGAGGTGTCTTTATAGGTCTTAGACCAACACCCTGCTCAAGCCAGAGGCCCTGTAGCATTTGAAACAAGTGGCTGTTTTTTTTTAAAAAAAATCCCAGTGATGAAGCACCCACAACTGAAGGCAAAACTCAGGAAGTTAGGAAGTTTCTCCTCACATCCTGGTCATAAATTGTGTCAACTTCTACTGTCAAAACGATGCTATAGGGCATTGCACACCATAATGTGCAGTGCTGAATTTCAGATGGAGTTTGGTTGGAACATTGACACAAGGACAGTTTTTACCCAAATGCCATCACTCTGCTAAACAACTAATTCCCACAACAGTCAAATTATTTACTAAGGCTGTATTACTATTATTCTTCTCATCCTTCCTACCTAGTACCTATATCTTCCCACTTATGACTATAACCATGTTGGTTGTATCTTTACAATTTATATTTACTTTCCTAATATGATTTTATTGCTTATTAGAAACCTATGACTATCACTAAGTGTTGATCTTATGATTCCTGATGAATGTATTTTATTTTTTTATATACACTGAGAGCATATGTATCAAAGACAAATTCCTTGTGTCCAATCACACTTGTCCAATAAAGAATTGAATTCTATTCTATTCTATTCTATTCTATTCTATTCTATTCTATTCTAT